GACTGCCTGGGGCGCTGAGCCTGGGGGGAATGGGGGTGGGAAGGGGAGGCCCTTTGCTCCTGGGGCTAATGTTTTTATTATGTTAGTGGACTTTGGTTTTTGAATGGTTGGGGATTTGGTTCACGTACGAGGAGGCATGCCCGGGGCACCGTTTGGTCCTCCTGGTGGGGGGAAGCCGAATGGAGGGGGTGGCAGTTGGCCTGGACGTCCTGGGGTTCGTGTTAATTTTTAGGATTCTTGTGATAGGTAGAGTGTAGAAGCGTACCGGGGAATGGGAATGGAGGGGGGAAGGCGCCTGGAGGAGCCATGGCGGGGTTCGGTACGGCCTGGCCTTCGGCGGCATACGACGAGGTGATGGAGTCGATGACAGATTGGGCCTTCTCTTGTCCGATTTCTGTGCGGGATTGGTGAGCATCTGATTGAATCAACCTTGATGGACGACGGAGACAAAACGTACGTTGATAGTATTCCAACACGTTCCTTAGATGGTTCCTTCCTGCATTGTGCGCCTTGCGCACGCTCATCGAGTCGTGCGTGAGGTACACATCACAATAATCACCTGTGGAGTAGGTCACCGAGTCAGCGAAAGTTGTGGCTGGAAATGATACGATCGATATAAAGCTGTATCTGCTCGATGGCGAGCTTGATGAACGTCACCGATATAGTGGCTCGGGAGATGGAAGAACCTACAGAAGAGTACACAGATGGTTAGTTGTTAGGCCCGTTAAGCTTAGGAAGGGAGGTACATATATTTTGGCATCTTGGGAATCTGAACAGGCACTGCTTTCTGAACGTTGCAGGCGAAACTTAAACTCGGCGGCGCTCAAGTGGCGCGTTGCGCGTGGTTTCAGACTTGGTCAAGGACCAAAATAGCTCTATTGGTAGATGCAGCGTGGCAAGGCGGGTTATGTGAGGCCTTCGGGAGGTCAATCCAGCTTGGCAGTCGCTCAGAAGGTCGTAGACAAGAATTGTATCGAAATTGGATGTTGAAGCGGAGTTCCAATGCGCCGGAGATACAATGGCGGTAGCACATGGCAGAATACGTAGGGTATATTTAATGCCTGAGGCATGAAATACCTTCCAATGTACGGGTTTCAAAGGACTATTTTCATTACAGCATAAAGAGGGGGGTTTGGAAATTGAAGACATGAGAAGTTAAAGATGGGGTGAACTATGTAGAGTTTGTTAAACCGGCCTGGGCCTCCATCATCTAATACCACTTATCGCCTTGACTGACAGCTATGCCCCCAGTTGAGGAATTTCTATACAACATTTATTGGCAGTTTCTTTTCTACTCGTTTATGTTGATTACCTATAGTATACACAGCAGCCAGGGGGTAGCTGTTGCCCGTAGTTTAGCTAGGGTTATGGTCGTTATAGACCAATGTCAATATTTAGAGCATACTATAAACTCATCTCATACATACCATCACCGCCCCCACCACTAAAATGAGCAAAGAATGCCGAGAAGTCCAAATCAGGATCCTAATAAAATTAGAAAGCATGCTATCAAATGACCAAGCTCTCAAACCTACCATAAGATCAAAATCTAGTCCAAGTGGCGCCTCGGTACAGATCAACGTCTCGATTGAGCCCTGTGGGGTACTGTCAGACTGAGACGACTGGGACGCCATGTAGCAGTTCTTCACACTCTCCTGGACTGCTTTGATCATTAACGGCCGGATATCTCTAGTACCAGACTCCAATGCTCGTATTTGACAGAGTACGACGGAGAGAAAGATGTATCGCTTGAACCTCGCAATGCCTTGGGCAACAATCTGAAGCATCTGGTCGTTGATATGCTCCAGGATGCGAATCATAGGCTCTCGTTGGACTTTGGACATCTCACCCAAAGGGTCTACAATGAGATGACCGGTTTCTGATGATACTGTAGTTGTTTCTTTGAGCTGACTGATTACCTCCAGACCTAGAACGGTAATAATGTCAAGGTGGAGAGAACCACAGAATGGCCCAGTACTCATCGCCATGAGACGTGACAGGTCATCAAGGTGTTGAGAAGGAAGCTGGATGCTTTCAGCGTATGATGCTATGATCATAGCCGACTCTCCACAGATCTTCCGAGAGAGGTAGAACCGTGGATCTTGCTGGGCCTGTAGCATGTAGGGCCGGTGAAGCAGTAGGATATAGCGACGAATTTGCATGTCGAGGAACTTCCTATGCAGATCAGTTTCGCCTGAGTATTGTGGCCAGTGCAGCTGGAAGTAGGTTGCGAGGTCACGGCAGGCTTTTTGTAAATCTGTAGCCAGCTGAAGCACGGCACTATATGACTGCTCCGAATCAGAACTGTTGATCAGTTTGGCCGCCTCCATACGGATTGGCAGAGATTGTCGCATCAGTAACTGTATCGAGGACTTTGTAAACTGTTGCAGTGGCTTTACGGTAGGAAATTCCTTGGTATCTGGCCACAGGTCCGCATCATTGATGTTATTCGGTATATGGCTATCAAAGTCCTGAGGGGAAATCATCAGCGGCATTGACGATGAGTCGATAGATTCATGAACCACTAGTTCCAGGATAGTCGTCCAAAGCCTACTCCGCATCTCTGCTTGGAACGGCGCTAAGCCTGGAAAGACTCGAGGGTCTCGGTGTAATCCCATGGTCATAGCCATTCTTAATAAAGAACCAGTAGATAGCCAGGGTGATGGCCCGATAGTGTTTGTTTTTCGCGACACGAGAAGAAGGCAGAAAACTTGAATACCGTCCAGATTTCTGGTTAATTTCTCAGAAGGGCCTACTAGCCACCATTGAGCTGCATATACCCACGTTTGCGCCAAGTGACGCAGTCGCTCCGACTCTTCCAGAATAGGGTAGAAAGTCGTGCCAATAGAGAAGATAAGACCTAGTTTGATCAAGAATGATGTTGATGATGCATGTGGCGCTTCCCAGAACTGATAATACTCTTTCCAGAAAGAAGGGATATGAACAACACGATATATTTGTTCCAAGGTCCGTATATACGCACTTGCCAGCTCATCACAAATTTGCCTGTCGGGAAAGGTACTGAAGAGGTCAGGAACAGGATCGTTCAGTTGCAGTGTTCGCTGGCTTTTCGCCGCCTTTCGTAAATTTCGACATTCCTTAGCCATCTCTGCTATATCTGCTTTCATGTCGACCATACTGAAATCCATGTCTTTTGAGTCGATTTGGCCGCCGGCAATCTACAAAAGATCAGCCACCGGAGTTTCCTGGGGGCTTTCCTAGTTACTAACCTTCTCGGCAGTGTACATCCAGTGGCTCGGTCCAAACAGCTTCGTCTTTTCTGCGGTGTTTCGCAGGCGAGGCATGATAGCAGGAATAGCCAAGTCTCCACTCACGGCACCGGGTTGTAGAGTCCGAGATAGTTCGGACAATTGCTGTTCGGCTTTACGCAGGCGGTTCTCCAAATCCTGTAGGGAGCTCCCACTCGTTCCTGTCCCTGTGTTGGCTACATCGTGCTGATCTAGTTGAGTGGAAGGTATATTCCGCAGGCCGTGAAATTGTTGTTGAGGTTGACCCCGTTCAGTGGGAGTTGACGCAGGTATGTCCGGGCTTTTTGGGGCCGTCCGAGCATCGGTCTGAGATGGCCTCGGCCGCGAGGATTCCCTATACGTGCAAGTCAAGGGATCCCGAGCATGTCGGCAAGCCCTACACGGCAGTTGGAGATCGCAGCGGACCTTACGCTCTCGGCACTGCTCGCAGGATTTGGCAGGACGCCGGCGTTTACGTGGCAGCGATGTTGAGGTTGTCCTGTTACGGGCAGTCATTTCAAGCCGGATATATCGCAGTGTAACACGACAACGAAAATAGGAGCATGTTCATGAAAGAATGACGCTGGATGTATAGACTGTTGATTCTCCGGACCCCGGGGATTTCGTTGGAATATCCCGAAGTTCGGGCGATATTCGCTTTATCTCCGTGGTTGCATCACGTTTGGGGGCTAAATTTTCCCTGCCAGATCCAGTGCTGTTTTATAGATCAGTTGCGATTCGTTGACTCCAACAGTTATGATATTCAAGACCAATTTGTTGCTCCGGTGAATAGCTACATATAATTTTGTATAAAAGCCCCCTACCCACGTGAAAACGGATATACAGGAGAAAACCAAAGATCATCTCAGTTAACACTAGTAGCATTCACGAAGATTAGCTGTTATAGAAGCGCAATGAGAGAAGAATACTGCGAACTTTGCAGACTAATCATTGCCCATTATTCTCGAGTTATTTAGTTGGACATATCGAAACCCCAACTTATCTTACAAGTTTGGTTAGACGCTGGCATTCTACAATTTCACCTGAGGCCACGGAAACAATGTCATCGATTGAATGCCAACCATGCAAAGAAAGTGTAGTTCTGGTCTATGTATGATATCAAAAGTGGAAATAAAAAACAATGGTGATAACCTAGACCACAGTCGTGATCGCACTCTGCAGGAAGCTCGACATATATACTTCTTCCCAATCCACCCCAAGAAAATAGCTTCCATCCTCGAAAACTGATTTATATGAGCACTTTCTTCGACCGAACCACCATCATTACTACTATCACGGAGGATTCATCGGCTGGTATACGCAAGCGTCACCAGTCTTGCGCTATGGTCCGCAGACTGATGTGATAGAGCTATCATAATCTACGCTGTCATCGTGATAGTAGTAGCTCTGGAGCTCGTCAAGTCGACCTTGGGTAGTCTCCGGACAGGAGTTGCCCTGAAATTGGCGGGTACTAGCTTTTGTTAGCCTTACTACTGCGACGAGCAAGTATATTTGCCAGCTCAGGTATTTCTGCGAGGTCAGTTATGCTCTATGTGGCTTTCCGTGTCATTTCCCTGGTTGGGTGGCCGGGCAGAGATTTGCATCTGCAATGAAGGTTAGGGGAATAACGGGCGGTTAGGGCTGTGGAGATCATGGGCTTTGCTTACTTACACCTCCAACAATCCGTTCATTATATTTTATTGAATGGGTGACTTTTCTGCTCTGTCGTCTTCTCTTCGATGCTGCCCCTCTGCTGGGATCGATACAGATATGACATTGCGTCATTTGACGACATGGGTACATAGACAAGCCATTTCATCCCTGCCCAAGCAGAGAACCCCTGCGTTTACATTGCATATACACTAGAGATTCAGATCGGGCGCGACGGAGTCGGGTAATCTAACGAACAACACCACATAACCGAAGAGGCGATGAGAATGAGGGGATACCCCTCGTTTCTATTATCAAAGCACCAAGTTGATCACGTCAACGAACGCAATTGTATTGACATAATTGGCATCGTGCAGTTGGCATTTGTCAACGAGTTCAAATTGAGAGACATACACCGGAGGAGTGATTCTTATTCGCGTATTCTGATGTTACCGTGTCTGTCTATGACCATGTGTCTCACACTTGCTGCTGTTGTCATATTTCAGCAGGCTGACTTTGTTAGCAAGATTGTACTAAATGAAAGTACTCTGGTATAGATTCAACTATATAGAATAAATAGATGCCCGATAATGTAGCGCCTTGTTTGAATATAGACACCAGGGTTGATATGCCAAGGATTAGAGGTTTTCCTACAACATGACTTGTATATTCGGTGCTCTATGTGCTTCATGAGCTACGGAGTAATAGTTCACCATTTCACCAGTAGTAAAATGATGGATGACGTATCTGTGACAGGCCCCTCATGGAAGTAACGGTGTCCTTCCAGAGGCAAATCGGTAGGCATCAGAATTCTCCAGAATTGTGAAGAATCCTACTCGGCGTGTTGTGTAGCATCAGATCTTCGAGATCCGAGCTGGGAAGTACCCGGACGTTCCAGATGATCTAGGGTTTCACGGCCATTCGGTGCAAAACATCCGAGGCAAACCGAGAGGCGAGGTAAGTGACTCCGGGCGTCAGGCGGTGATTGAGCGAAACCAAGTCCGTCATCAAGGCCGGATTTGAGAGTTGAGCACCTGGTACTCTGACTTATCCCAAGGGTGTACGTGACAAGAGACAGGGCGTGAGGACCCGTGGTTGATACGGTTGAAGATGCAAGACGTGATGCGTGACAACTTGTGACCTGCAAGTGTGGTTGCCTGGGGCCAAAATCCGGGGAAGAATCGTAGATTTCTTTTTTCCCGGCAGTTCACAAATTTTTCCCTGATCAGTTTTTTCCCCCCTCGGTGGATCAGCTTCCCAAAAGAGTCCGGGTAGTCTCACCGGTTGGACCGGGTCGGTGGATTCATCCAGTCAGCTTCTGCGACCGTGGGGCTGGTGGAGGGAGAATGGAAAAAATTTTCAAGGGCGTGTCAGTGGATGAGGCATTTCTGGGTCGGCGTCATTTTTCTCTGACAAAGGTCTCAAAGTCCAGCCTCAACAGTCTGGGGAAGCTGCCTGTTTTCGGTTTAGCCCGGCATATCCGTGGATCCTCCCAATTCCCTGTCACATCTCGTTACATGATGATATTCATTGTCGCCGGTGCGGGGTGGTTTCGATGATGTGAGAATGCGGGAGAGTCTCCGGTCTGGAATCTCCTTGATGACCGATTCTCTCCTGTGTACATGTATTTACGCAAATGAGGACCGTGAGTGAGTGATTTATGTGAGGCAGATCGGTTGTTTCCTGAGATCAGCCCCATGCCAAGAAGGCCAGCGAGCATGGCGGCCATGCCATCCTCACAATAGTAACAATACTAGCCCGTGAGCCCTAATTGGAGATCACTGACCGTTCGTCCCCCTGACCATCACTTTGAAGTTTGCGGCATTTCTGTTCGGCTATTGCCGCCCTTCCGGAGACAGGCACTGACGAGAGAATGACAGGGATGGTTCCATTCTCTCCGTGTAATCTAGAAGCATCTGTTTTTGCCTGGAATGTATAAGGAGCCGAGAGTTTGGATGGCCAGGCAGTATGGAATTCATAATGAGAATCTGATTAAAATTTTGCTATGATGCAATCATGCTGCCGGTTCCCTTTTGCGGGGAAGTTCTTTCCCTGTCTAGAAGGAGGGATGAGCGTCCCAAAAAATAATAATTGGAAACATAATAATAATTTAGGATTGTATAGTTTCCTCCCCTGCCTCAGGAGGAGGGAAATCCACTTCCCTGTTAAACGGTGTACAACTATAACCTGTAGTTCCTTATAGTCTTCGGCAACGTCTGGGAGCATCGAACTCATCTAGAATCCGCAAGTGACGCAAAATGCCGTCCTGACCGCAAAATTCAAGGCTGAACCAAGAGGACAAGAGCAGTCTCACAGACGACTCACTGTAAGGATCAACTTTCGCAATTGATGGCCAACAAAAGGTGACGACTCGTGACCGTCGAGTCAGCGATTTTCATTACCCCCAGAAAACTCCCATGTGAGCCGCCACCGCCCCTTATTGGCCGCCAAGTCAGTTTCTATTACGTTTCGCCACGGCTTGGGACCCATGTCAGATGATCTGAAAATTCATTAAAGCGGCAATGTGGATCAAGCGAGTAGTGGAACCCGATGCCTCCAATCGACCGCTCGGAATGCCCCCAATGCACAACGTGACTGGATCAGACAGCCGCCTGAATCAACCGCTGCTTTTATCCCAGCTGTCAAAATCATGGTGCTGTACCGCGCGCATAACTCGTGCCGCGTTGTGGTTGGACGGTAACCCGCTTACCTAAGATGCAGACAGAGAAGAATTTTCTTAATTTATTTTTGTATTT